AATAAATAAATAAATAAAAAAAATAAAAAACATAAATACTGGGGGCACCTGGGTGGCTCAACTGGTTAAGTGTCTTACTCTTGGTTAGGTCATGATATCAAGACCATGAGGTCAAGCCCCGAGTCAGGCTCTGCACTCAGCACAGAGTCCACTTGAGATGCTCTCTCTCCCTCCCTCTCCCTCCCCTCTTCCCCTCCCTTTGCTCATGCTCTCTCTCTCTCTCTCTCAAATAAATAAAAATCTTTAAGAAAAAAAAAATACTGGAGGAGGTAATTTTCTTAAATACTAAGAAAACCATCAAGTAAAAAGAAAAGATCTATACCCACATGTCCAGCAGTGGAGGCTCCAGTATTATCCAGGAAAGACCTGAGAATGGTTCCTAGGCACCATCTGGGACCAGAGACAACTGGTCAAGTGTAGACAAATGAGCAATGATCAGAATTTTGGCAAAGCACTAACTTTGGCACAGCACCAACAAAGGTCAAGTTTAGACTTCCTGACATCCAAGAGGGATGGGGCTTTAAAATTAGAATTTAGGGGCGCCTGGGTGGCTCAGTTGGTTAAGCGACTGCCTTCGGCTCAGGTCATGATCCTGGAGTCCCGGGATCGAGTCCCGCATCAGGCTCCCTGCTCAGCGGGGAGTCTGCCTCTCCCTCTGACTCTCCCCCTCTCATGCTCTCTCTCTATCACTATCTCTCTCAATAAATAAATAAAAATCTTAAAAAAAAATCAGAATTTAACATTTCAAAAAATAAAATGCACTATTTCTTGCATATTTGAGTTTGTAGACCAAGATTCAAATCGACTACACTGGCAAAGCTCCAACACACAGAATTTCTCAAAGTAAGATTTAGAAAACCCTACTCTCTCATGAAGAAAGGTTTCATGGTTATGCAGGTTTAGGAAATGTATGTCACAATCTGTTCCTACTGATTCACAGTGAACCTTAGAATATTAAAGCCCTGCAATGAACCTTTCCCTAAATGCATTTAAGTGATGAACTTTTCTAAAGGAACATCTATCACAAGCTGAGAAACTGTAATTGCCAAACACATTTTAGAAAACACCGTTCCCATAGAGCATGGGCGGCCAGCCTGTCTAGAGGGACGCCATACTGTCACCCTCTCACTCCCTGTATAAAGCAGAACTCTAGGCTCCATTAATTGCCCCCTCAGAGAGTGACATTTTTCCATTTCCTAGTGAAGCAATGGCCTTCCGCCAGGTTTGAATTCACCACAAGATGAAGTTTGACATTCCCCAATTTTGAATGCTTCTGCTGTCATAGTAACAAACTGTTGGTGAAAGTCTCCACCAGTAACAGTTAAATCACAGGAGTTTGTCAAGAGAACAGTTAAGAGAGCACTCTGGAAAAGCATCCCCTTTCGACCCCCAGACCCTTAAAATGCCTATGTTTGCATTTACTCTTTCCTTCGGAGATTAGAAATCAGACAGAGAGGACTGGGGCTAGCATCTTAAGAATAATATCAGAATAATATTAGAATTTAATAAGTTCTGACTATAGAACTGCTGACATTCTTTTATTGATTGAAGAAGTTTGGGCCACAGAAATAGCTTTAACTCATGTTCCACTCAAGGTTTTTGAATTGCTTACTAGTGGATTCCTGATGTGGAATGATGAGTAATGGGAGAAGAGGCTGATCAGAGATAAGGTTGAGCAAAGGGAAATGCCTGAATTACTGGAGGTTGGGAGAAATTGGGGGCAAACTCGTGAAGACTGCTCATGTTTGCTCCAGCAGCCTGTGTTGTTAAAAGAGTTACAGAGACAGATTTCACAGCTGGATCCTCCAACCTCACTTTGCATAGCAGGTGTATTTTTAAAAGGCTGTGGGTAAATTAGAATCTTTATAAAAACTTCAAAAATTGAATATGAGTTGGAATAGGTTCAGAGTCTAGTATTGAGTTGGAGAATTAGGATCAAACTTGCTTAAATAATACATAATATACATGTAGCCACAACTGTACACATACATAATCTAAGCAGAGTTTGAAGGGGTTTTTCATTATTGAGAGATGACAACTAAGTAAATTTCTCTCCGTCGATATCTTTTACAAAGATTAAAAAGGAAAAATACTACAATATTAACTATGTCTGACTTTAGGTGTTGTAATCATGGCGAGTCTTTTTCTCACTTTCAGTTTTAGGTGTGCTCCAAAGTTTCTGTGATAAATGGACTCTCACCTCTGAGCCATATAACGTGTTCCCGCTGAACGAAGTAGTGAGGAACCACCACTGGCTTTGGAAATGGCCAGAGATTTTTTTTTACAATAGACCTCCATAGTATATAAAACACAAGAGTGGTACAAGGACCATGTGTGTGGGGACGTAAACTTCCAGGAACATCATTCCACTAAATGAGCATAACAAAATTTACTTAAACATCTTGAATGGATATTTAGATCATTTCCAATTGTTCCCTATTTGTAAATCAGGCTATGATGTAAATCTTGGCTCAAATTTTAGCTTTTTCTTTTTTGAATAAAGTCTCAAAATTAAGATTAATGGATAAATATTAATATCCTAAAAATATCAATGCGTATTGCATATTGCTTTCCAGATTGATATATTAGGAAATATTTCTACCAAGAATGTACAAGCGGGCCTATCTTAATCTGTTATTTTTAAGTATTAAAGATTTTATTTAACATTTACCAATTTGACAAACAGAAAATGATGTCTTCGTCTAGTTTAGTTCTCATCTTCTTTGATTACTAGAAGGTTATACCTTTTCCTGTAAGTTTATTTGCCATTTCTATTTCCTCTTTTGTGAATTGTGACTTCTTCCTCTCAATTTAATTATCCATTGATGTTTGGGTTTTTTCCCCTCAAGATGTATATAAACTTTTTTATATTAAGCTTATTCACCTTTTATCAAATATGTGTTACAAATATTTTTCTGTTTGTGTTTTAATTTTTTTGTGATAAATATTATGGTTTTTTCCCCTATTTTTTCTTTGCTTTTAAACCTTTAAAATCCTTCTCTATTCAGTGATCAAATAAATATTCACTAAATTTCTTTAGAGTTTTTTACGATTTTTTTCATTTAAATTCTAATCCATCGAGATTTTTATTTCTGTCTATGATATGAGATGAAAATAGAACTTGATGTTTCCCCAGATATCTAATTTTCTCAACATTCTTTCCTGGCAATACCCTCTTTATCAAATATATTAAATTATTCTCTATACCAAGATGTATTTCTCTTATAATAGAAAAAATGTTATAATTTTTTTAGGTTTATAAATGTAATGAACATCTTGTCACTGAAAGGACCATAACTGAACCCTCTGAACACTTTTTCAAATGGCTCTCTTCTCCTAATACCTTCCCCTTTTATCTGTTATGTAAATACTGACCCATCCATCAAGTTGCCCAAAGCAAAGTATAGACTTCTGTTCCCATTTTATGCAGGCTCTGTCTGTTACCCATCACCTCACTGCAGTGCCCACCAAACCAGTGAGGATGCTGAGCTACCCCTATCCTCTCAATTCTCACAATTCCTAGGGCACACACATTGACTGGGTCAGTCAGTCCCAACGATGTTCTATGGGGTAGCTGCAGCAGGAAAGACTTGAAGTTTAAGAAGAGGACACTTGACTAGAGAGATGAAGGAAATAGTAAAATGAATACATCAAGCTGCCTCCTTGGAACAAAATTAAAAAAAGCATTCTAACTGCTGGTGCTCACGCAAAGTGACATTAAGTTGAAAAGCGATTCATGGTTCAAGTACAAATGTAATGAAAGAACACTGAACCACAAACAAGGAAACCTGAGGCTCTGATCCTGATTCTGCCTCTAATGACCTTGGACAAGTCAATGAACTTCCTATGACCTTGGATCTCTCATCTGTAAAATGAAGGGCTTGATTATTAGAGGATGCAGTTGGAAGTTCACAGGCCAATTGTGCAAATGTATTTAGTTTGGCTCACATGATGTTTTAATTTCTTTTAATGCAATGGAGCATAGCATTCTGTTTCTAAAAGCCCCTACCATCATGCAGCTTGTTTCACTTATGTTCCCTATCTGGCCGTGGAAGAGAGCTAAATGATCCCTAAAGTCCCTTCTTATGTTGTAAGTTTATAAATCTATCAGAAATCCATGTTAACTGTGCCTGCAAAATACCCTGGAATCTGACCACTTCTTACCACCTCCATGGCTACCACCCTGCTCCAAGCCACCAGCTTCTCTCGCCAGGATTATTGCTATGGCTTCCTAACGGGTCTCCAGGCGTCCAGCCCAGCTCCTCGGTGGTCATTTCCCAGCAGAAACAGCCAGAGTCGTCTGTTTTTAAAATATAAATAAAGTCATCACTCAAATGTCACCTAATCAGGGATACCTACTCTGACCACCCTGTTTTTAAATAGCAATCCCTTGGGGCACCTGGGTGGCTCAGTCATTAAGCGTCTGCCTTCGGCTCAGGTCATGATCCCAGGGTCCTGGGATCAAGCTCCTCATTGGGCTCCCTGTTCAGCGGGAAGTCTGCTTCTCCCTCTCCCACTTCCCCTGCTTGTGTTCCCTTTCTCACTGTCTCTCTCTCTCTGTCAAATAAATAAATAAAATCTTTAAAAAATAATAATAAAAATAAATAAATAAAGAGCAATCCCTTTCCCGTGCTCCTGATCACCTTTCATTTTCCACATAGAATTGTCCCCTTCTCACATACTATGTAATGCACTTCTATGTTGTGGGTTTGGTTTTGTCTTTGTCTGCTTTGTCCAACTAGGGTGTAACAAACAGCACGGAGGACAGGCATTTGTATCTGTTTTGTTTAGTGGTTGTTATAGCCCCAGTGCCTGAAATAGAGCCAGGCACACAGGGGATACTCAGTAAATAATTGTGAATAATTAGGACTCTAAGAATAATTTCTCTATCTCCTAGAATAAGTTCTTCTGGTTGCAAGAAGTAACATCAGTTAAGTGTCATTTCATAATGGAGCTAGGATCCTGTCTTCTAACCTTTACTGTTACAGCAAACCACTTTACACCTACTCTGCAGCCTGGAAAATTCTCAGCAAGAAAGTCACTTGCCAAATCAATGACGGTTAGGGAGACTTTCATGTGATAAGCAGGCTAGTCCTTTATTAACAGTAGCCCACAAAGACTTGAGTTCAGACAGGAGGGAGACTTCTTTTCCACAGCCATCAAGTAAGGAATCGATAGGAGGATTAATTTATAAAACAAACAAGGCAGCCGGTCCCAAAAAGCAGGCTCAGCGATGCTCATATGAAATAGGTCAAAGTTCCATATCATCCATGTTCTTTGAGCCCATCATCCTTCAGGGCCATCTTCAGGTCTGTTTGCTAAATTCAAGGCATGCTGACAGTAAGATCTTTTGTTTCTCAAAGAGTAATACATCCTCTTTCAAAGACTAGAAAAGGTCAAATCCCCCCATCAAGCCCTCCCTCCCCCCCCCAAAAAAAACCCCAAACCCTGAGCTGCTTGCAATAGCTTTTGGATAAATCTCTTTCCAAGTGTGGGCTGAATGAGGACATGCTCCTCTTGCAAAGGTGACCAGTTTCACTCCTCCCCCTCCTGCCCTGGGGCTCTCTGCCTTTCCCATCCATCCCTCCTTCTCTGCACCTCTCAACAACTGAGGGTGTAGCTCAAGTCTGCTCACAGACTTTGATTTCACAGACCGACACAATCTAGAAATAAAGAAATAAAGAGAGATGGGAGGAACAATGATAAGGTTGCCTACTTTTTATTTTATCAAGCAAATGGACTCTTTCTAAAAAGACCTCCTCGGCTGGACATTCTGACACACTCCCAGGAAACACTAGGTACATAATCACAAAATAAGTTTAATAATTTTAACCTCCTGAAATACTTGTTTTTCTCTCACAGGATGAGAAGTAGGTCAGAGAAATTTTCTCAGGAACCAGCATTTGGGGAGCACCAATGTAAATGCTCCTGAATCCCTCATCTGGAGATAACACCTCAGAGTGAGCTTGACATTGGGAGCATGGCTCTGACTCTCAACTTGATGCCTTATATAAGAACAAAAGAGAGGAACTGGGCCTTGCTGGGTTTCAGGCACACATACATTTAGATTCCCCGCTAAGTCACAAGGCTCTGGAGCAGTTCCTCTGGGAGAGAAGACAACTCATTAGTAAGGTCCTAGATTTTGAACGGTGTATTCATAGTGGATACGACACCGCCCAGCTGTTTACAGAACTAAGCAACTAGCTTTCCTTCTTCCTATTCCTTTCCAAATCCTTCAACAGCTTTTGCTGATCAGCAAACAGCACTTGGCAAGTGACCAAATATGCATGGCCTTATACTAAGAGAGCCACGGAAGGATAGTCAATCCCATTATAACTGGGCAGCTACCAAATAAAACTTTAAAGCAGACAGTGCAAACCAGTGGTGCACAAGCTGAATATGGCAGCCAAATATTTGGGGGTGGGGGTGGGGATGAGGAAGTACAAGGGAATATATATGCATACACACACATATCCACACACACACATTTGTTGACCATGTGTAAAAATTATGGTATTTACTTAAGACCAGATTTGACTTGTCTTGAAAAATCTAAAAATTGGGCAGCAATGCGCTCTCATTCCAGTGTGGCCATCAGTGCCCATAGCTGTGCAGAGACAGGTCATGCCCTCCTCCCTGGGCTGAGTCATTTCATTACCTGCCTGGAGGCTGGAAGCGTCTGTGTTGATGACCCCTGGCTTCACATATAGAAGGTTATTTATACTGCCTAATCCCTACAAGGATTGAAAGAGGCTTAGAAGAGACAGACAACAAGAAGAAAGGGGAGGAAGGAGAAGAAACAATACAATAAAGCCAGGAATGGGGTCATGACCCACAGTGTCCACCATACAGTCTATATTTAGCTGGAGAAGGCCTGCAAATTTCGTTCCCAGCTTCTCCACAGCTGACCATAGCTTAGAGCCTGAGACCAAAACAAAGTCAAATTTCCTCCCTTCAGTGAAATATTATCTTTCTACAGCGATACCACTAAATCCCATGAAGCAATTAAACATGAGATAGCACTACAGGGCATCATAAATGTGCGGTCTTGGTGAGACAAAGTAACCTGGGTGGTCCCTTGAGGCATAGGGGTGTGACAAAGGAGCCCTCAGTTGGGCCTGGGAAGATGGGCACACCACCCAGAGCTGAATAAAGGAAAACAATAGCATCAAAACAAGAGGGTAGAGCTTCGAATTCATTCAGCTGTCAGGCACTGCCCTTAATTTCCGGCAGCTCTACTTTTCTTCCTGAAGTGTTTTCTTGATTTGGGTTGTTGTCAAACTACGGGAAACGCGAAGGTAGTTAAAAATGAAATGCCTCTTAGAGTTTAGTGCATAAGTACCTCAGCTTGGAGACTCTGGGACCCAATTTCTTTCTCTCTTCAAATCAAGATGACTCGCACACGGCATAATTGACTTGTTGGGTGTGGGGGCTGAGGGGAAGGGCTGGCTGCCCCTGGGCCACGCTCAGAGGGACAGTCACTGTCCTCCAGGCCCCGGCACCCCAGTGCAATGTATGGGCTTTTGCTTTTTCTCTCTCTTAAATCTGCATCAAGCACCATCAAGACAAATACTGGCCACTACTCGAAAAGCCCACCTCCATTTCTGTGTGTCACTGATGTAGAGCTTTGTGTGGCCTGAGTGAAATTAACAGCAAATCCATCTGGCAAAGCAAAACAAATCTTGAATTAACAAACAGCACCACTACCACTTCTCAGTTTATTAGTGGAGAAAGATATATTTCGTGCATTTTCTTCAGTTCAATATCTTATCTGTATCAAAATGAGGAACAAAGAGCTTATCACATCAATAATGGAATTTCAAGCCGCTGTGGGGACAAGACTACAGTTTTCTTCCCTGCAGAAATGGAGATCTGTGAGCTCTACAGGGAATGGACTCTCTCCAGACAAATCAATTAAAAAATTATAAAGCATTTTGGTCGCTGAGTCAGATGGACAGGAGAACATCACGTACTTCTCCTCCTCTCTGTACTGCAGAAGGTAGAGAGTTGAAATCTTTTTTCATGAGATATCGACTACATCCTCATATCAAAGCAGTCACAGTCATTACAGAGACTGCCAGTATTTCTGTAAGAAACCCTATCTAGAGAGGATTTACAGAATATTGGCTGCTTTCGATTCACAAAGAGCTGATTTTAAAGCCAGGGTCTCAGTTGCCTGAATTCATTTCATTTGCATATCACACATAGTCAGAACAAAGCCATTTCTTGGGCCTCTGGCCGTTAGCAATTTTACAGGGGTGACAATTAAGAGAACAGTCTGCTTTCTTCAGAAAATATGTATTTTTTTTAAATCTGAGAATCATGAAGATCAGATTCATACTCAGCCTTGGTACTGACATATTTTCCTTTCAGAATCTTGATCTTATTTTCAGTTGGACCCTAAAGGAAAAGTGGTAAAAGTACAGTGAGGAGAATGAAGCTGCTCTTCTCTGGTAGGGAAGAAGAGAGGAAGATACCATGAGGAATGCAGTTCTGCCTCATCCGACTTTGGACAACAGCAGGACGGAGCTTAGACAGGATGAGAAGGCAGGCAAAAGAGCAGGCAACTTAGCAAGATCCTAAGTGAAGCGGACGAGTGACCAAGTCCAGAGAGGTCACTATGAGCTGGAACGAGAAGATAAGATAGTTCCACGGGTCCATCAAGCAAGGGGTCATGACCAAGAGGTCAGGCCTTGAGGACCCATAATCTGGAGAAGGTAACTGGGGACAAGGGGGTCAGGGACCTAGGAAAGAGATTTTTTTTTTTTTAAAGATTTTTATTTATTTATTTGACAGAGAGAGAGAGCGGCAGGCAGAGGGAGAGTGAGAAGCAGGCTCCCCGCTAAGTAGGGAGCCTGACGCGGGACTCGATCCCAGGACCCTGGGATCATAACCTGAGCCAAAGGCGGATGCCTAACGACTGAGCCACCCAGGCGCCCCTAGGAAAGAGATCTTAACATAGGTGCTTGTCTGCCACTGACCCTGTATGGTAAGTGCTGGATAGCTAGTTTGCAGCATACCCTGAATGCCCCTGTTAATCACTATCTTGAGAATGTAGAGATATTGTCCTCCCTCCATACTCCCATCAAACAGAACATGTAGAAGAACGTGTTGTTCAGTGTTCAAGGTCAGGGGCTCCAGGAATGTCCAATGTGGAGCATGTCCTTTGAAGAATGCCAGGATG